TCCTCTTCTTCCTGCTAAGCGCCGTCCTACTGATTGTTCTCCACACCCTACGCCCACTCATTCGCCGCATCCTCCTGCTCTGCTCGTCATATCACCCGCCACCGTTGTCCACCCCCATCTCTCCCTGTTCCGCTACTTTCCATACTTTCCCATCTTTTCTTGGACATCGGCGTTTATTTATGTCTGGGTGTTGTTGTTCCCTCATGACCCTCTCTCTCCTCGGAGAAGGGCGAATTGAGCCGAGATAACAGCAGCTCAAAACCGGAGTCATGACCACTCCTGCGGCCCAAACGCACCAATGTTCCAAGCTGCGTCCAGCCGTGGCGACGAGGGGGGCCCGCCTGAAGGCCAACTACCGTTGTCTCCACCCGCCCTCTTCTCTCGGGTCGGGCGAAAGGGGGGGATAGCAAAGGGGGGGGGTTGAGAATCATCTCACGTAGCTGACTTTCCCGGGGCCTCCCGGCGCCGGAGGCGGCAATGTGTCGAGGAATGGGCCCCTCGGTGAGGCCGACACCGGCTGCATGCAGCAAATCTCGTACCCCCCCCTTTTTCCCAATCCCCCCCTTTCGTCCGGCCCGATTCTCTCCTCCCTCCCGTCCAGGGTGGCCTGGGGGCAGTTGGCATTGGCCACGTCGAACAGCACCTTTGCGTTGTCGCTGAAGGGCAGGGCGCTGGCGCGCGCGCGCGCAGAGCGAAGGGCGCCGGCGCTGCACCGGGCGGCCGTGCGGCACTGGCCGGCAAGCCCGCCGTCGGACTCGGCTGGACAGGGCAGTGCTCTTCCGACGGCAAGGTGGCCACAGAACACTTTTTTTGTCCCATAGGTAGCCTTGGAGGTAGCGGGTCACCACGCTCAAACCCTGGACGATGCACTGGTGCATGCCGTGGAAAAGCACTCTTGAAGCGGGGGCAAATATGTCCCACGCGTTGCGATGCGCAGGCTCTTCAGTGCCCCAGCTGTTCACAACTTCCCAATACCATCCGCCACAGAACACCAAAGAGGACGAGCGGGTTGTATATGTAGGGGTGAACACGGCACGATGGTACTCGGCGGCGAGCGAGGGGGGGAAGTGAGACGGAGAAGGCCTTCTGAGACGGCGGCGGGGCTTCTCAGAAGCCCTCGGGCCCTCTTAGGAGAAATGTTGCTTGTCCCGGGGGTGGACGAACCTCACTTTAGAGTAAACCATTATTTAGTGAAAATGGCCTATCACCGAAACTGAAGGACCTGGACCCGCAAAAATGACGGCCGCGACGCCCTCTCGCGACCCGAAAACGGCCAATTCGCTAATCGACGTGTCAGGGTAGGAGGTCCATCAATCTCCGATTGTCTTCGGGAGCGGCACAGGACACTTCTCACAAGGGCGGGGGACTGCCGAGCCTTCTGAGAAGGCCCGCTCCTTCGCACTCCCCCCCCATGGGCGCACCGCGGAGGTATACCCTCCCTTTGGCACGGCCGACCTGCCGATCAGAGCCGACTGTACTCCAAGCGTGCCTCAGCGAGGGCGGGTCATCGAGCGTGCAGTGATCGGTGCCGTTGGTCGCCTGCCCCTGCTGGGGTGAGAGGGAGGACGACGACGAGGAGGAGGATGCGAAGGAGGAGGCGGAGGCTGAGGAGAAGGAGGAGGACAAGAAGGCGGCGGCGGAGGAGGAGGAGGAGGAGAAAGAGGAGGAGGAGGAGGAGGAG